GAGATACTGAGACTGGGGGAGCAGATTTCTTGACAAAAAATTGAAAAAACCAAACCTGGTCCTTTATTGCTTGTGTAATTGACTAGAGCATGTGTTTAACATGATTGCCATGCTTCCTGTTTCTGGCATTTTTCCGGGGTGGATCTAAGATCAGATGTTACCACAGTGTTTTGCAGCAGGGAAACCGTTCCATCATTTTATCGGTTACTTTCTGTTTTTAATAGGAGAAAAGCTTGGAAATGCATGGAAAACCGTTTACTCAAATATATCCATCGAGACACAACAAAGGTAGGCCCAAGAACCTACTTTCTCCTCAAATACTTTGTCAAGACTCATTCTACAAGTGGATAAACTTTCAAAATAAAACCAGAATCCAATTAAGTAAATTGGTTATATCAATTGAGTGATGTAAGCTCAGCCTTGCCTATTGAAAGGGGGTTTTGAAAATGTTTAGATGTCCACTTTGGGGAAAGATATTGGCATGGGGGTCATTCTATAAATTTGGGGTCCATTATTTTCCTGTCCCTGTTATGTCTTGCGTGTGATTTTTAATGTTTAGAACTCACATTTGATTTCCAAGACTGAATAAGTACTGCAAATTACCTACCAAACAAATAAAAAGTTTGAAATCAATTTCAGTGATACATCCCTCGTCAAACATGTCACATGGTGTACATGTCAGAGGAAACAGGGACGAAAAGATGTCACACTTCGGACCCCAAATTTATAGAATGACTCATATAGGGAACATCCATGTGTACAATTTTGATTGAAAGTTGCCCTCAACAAACAAAAGCAGAAATGGTCCCAGGAAAGGTGGTCAAAGGTCATCAAAGATGTAACTTTTTTTGTTTGGGATGTGGGTTTCTCATCTGCAGAATCACCTACTGGATATTTACCATGGGAAGTATAAGTGCGAGAGGCAGCGGCTATTTAAATCGGACAGACAGGCCGACCGACTGGCACTACGTACAATGGCAGGCCAGGGACCAATCACAGATGAGGAATTGGTAAGATCGACGAGCAACTGGAATCCAATGCCTTATATCTTACACCACTTACATGTCCGCGAGATGTCTTTTGTCTTAATCTGACATGAGTAGCTATTTTAATCTAATATCTCATACCAGTGTATCTTACCACTGATTCAGAGGAGATGAATTTTGAACTTGACAGTGCGACTTGCTTTATAAGGCTCTCAATAGCTCGGTATTGGCGATAATTTTGTGGCAGACTTCAAGTTCTTTTTAATTAATAACAGTTCATCCAACGAAATTTTCCCAAGCTGTGACATACCAGTCCAGTCTTTTCAACAGTTTCTAGGTTTTACCTAGTTACTCATTTTGGTGTGTCTTGGAGTAATCACACATGATCATATGTGGAGACAAAGTGGGTTAACATTGAATACTGTGGTAATTTGTTCACAGCTGAGTGAGTTGACTAACTTCTTGCGGGACCTATATGTGGAAAATTGCATGGAATGTAAGGAGGATATCCCCAATGCATCATATATCACCGAGGTCTGGCTCCCGGAGGTATGTACAGATACATACAACAAGGGAAAGGGAAGGGATACATGCTCTCTAAACCGAAGCATTTACATGTACGCACAAGACATCGGTGGCACCATGGTATAGTTGTAATCCATTTATCAACACTCATTAGGTATTTAGAAGACATCACAATTTATCATTAGTCTTCACAAGTCAGCATAAAAAGTCAGAAGTCAATATTTTTTTCCGATTTGCGTCAATGGTGCTATATTTTTTTACTAGGTTTGGCCTTATGCCAACATGTACAATAATGAGTGCAAAGTTGTGGGTTCAAGTCGGAGTTGTATACTCAAGTCGGTTGACTTGGACTCGAGTTGCTATTTTTGTGACTCGTAACTTGACTTATAACTATCAGTTTTTGACTTGTGACTTGACTTGTAACTATCAGCTTTTGACTTGTGACTTGACTTGTAA